AGAAGCTTCAGTGGCAGCTTCTTCAGAGGCTGAAGAAGCTGCCACTTGGAATTCCACTAAGACATTTTTAACAGCTCAGGTCTGTGTAGTGTCCAAATTGGGAGACGTGTGGCCATAACTGTCACATGCCTTCTGTATTTATTATATCTTGGCACCTCTACTGAACATATGTCATATCAATGACCCACATTTTCATTCTGATAAACACATCCTACATCCTGGGGCCCAGAAAAAAAGGGAAAGGCAAAATTCTGTCAAATGAAGAGTTTCCACTGCATCTATCTATGAGACAGTTAAGCTGCCAGGAAAGATAAATTCATTTCTCCCAAGTCCGCTAAACACGTTGACAATAGTCCCATTCTACGTCAGTTCAAATTTGGGAAAAGGAGAACAATTTGAAAGCTTGTGAGTAGCTGTCAAACAGATGCCTTTGGCATTTCAGAGGGAGAGGGAGGGCGCAGGGGTTGGAAAATGCCTATGAACAAAAAAGCCATGGTTTCAAATGCCTTTCTCCGCCTTGTAGCTGTAAATTTGAATCTTCCTTGGCCTTTTGTTTGGCCAGAGTGAGCGATTAGAGAAGAATTCAGACAGGGTGTGTGTGCAAATGAGAGCATTCATTTATATTTTATGCAAAAAATTTGCTTTATTGTCAAGTGCACATTGTATATTTACACAGGAAAGAAGCAACTACATTGGCAATATAACACACTCGAACCTTCCACCTTCCTTTTTACGGTCTATGACTCAAACTCAAGAGATGGCAAACCAGCCACTTGTTACAGAGGTCACTTTGAGGGTAAATTTCTCTTTTTCACCACATGCTGTTAAGAATACTGGCACAGAAAAGCAAAAAAGAATGTAAACTGTGCATCCTCCCTAATTAGAAGCTGCTACATGGCAGCAGGGTTACATTGCAGCAGGGTGTGTCTCTCTGAAGGCCTAACATGAGAACATGCCTTTGAATCCATCTGATATCTTTCTTGATGCACTCTGACCTTTGGCAGTACGCAAAGAGAACGCACAATAATTGAATGCTGTAACTGTAGTTGTGTATATGTTGAATGTATGTGTACTGTTTTCCTTGTGTCACTATACAGTACACGTGCTTGCAAGAGCAAGTCTAGAGCATATTTACCTTGTCATACAAGACATATTACAGTTTACTGTTTGTGTTCAATAAGCTTTTGGGAATAAAACAAGTGGATGAGAATTCATTTGTTTTCAGCTGATCATAGTAACATCAACCAGTGGACGAAACACACAGGGTACAGTGTCACCAAAACCATAAACAAAAGGACAACACTCTACTGTACTTTTAATTTCTAAGCAAACTTTGCCATAAGCTTTCTTTTGTTACGTCATTCAGCTTCCACACTTTGCTGGCAGTGACTCCAAGAAACAAATTTGAAATGGCATGTAATAAATAAATTAAAAAAGAAAACGATTAAATGTCTAAACTCCAGGCTTTCAAATAAAGACATCAGCAAAAACTTTAGTAGGACATTGATGTCAAAGAAGAACAAAAGAGCTGTTCTGCCTTCAGGTTTAATTCTCCCTTGGAGGCAACAGTGTGTTTGGATGGCTGTTAAACATGTGGCAGAAATGGCCACAGTCAAGTCCATCTGGACCCAGCAGCCCCAGTCCCTCTTCCAACCCTTGTTCCCATGCTGCCAAGGTCCAGCTGTGCACAGTCTCCCATCAACACTGACAGACACCTCTTTGTGCGAGGGGACATAGACTACGACCGACTAAGAGGGTACTGACAGAACTGTAGCAAATGGAACATTTAACAAGTGATTAAAGGGAATGATGGGGGGGTGTATGGAAAGGAGGGAGACAGGCGGAGGCAGAGGAAAAACTAAAAAGAAGCATAGGAATTAAGAGACAGACACTAACTCGCTTCCTTCCTTTCTTTATTTGTCTTTTTGGCTCTGATACTCTGCAGTTCGCACATCAGCTGGCCACATGTTGAACATGCCTCAGTTCACACCCTCGCTCGTAAGTGGCACCAACATGAGGAATGCAGGGTCCTTTCCTCACAATTAATGCATGATCACGAGTCACTGTGCAGCAATCTGAGGTTTCTATCATTCGTGTTCCCCTCCTGTCTTGCGTAGATGACAAGCATAAGCTGCATTTTCCCTAATTTGGGATGGAGGTCTGAGTGTGTGTGAGAGCAACACACACGCTCAGGGTGAAAAATTCAACTCCTGAGTCAGCACGGAAACATTACACCTCTTTCCCATTTATAAATGTTTAGCCATTAATAGCTAGAATTACAAGCACCAAGCCAGTTGTAAGCTCAAAACACATTTTAATTTATCTTTGTTGTTTGGAAACAAATCAACAGATAAATCCAATCTGGCTGTTCTGTCCAGTACAGATACGCTGCAGCCAGGAGGATTTCTCTTTGTCATTGGAAAGCACTCTTCCGATCCTGATGACTCATACCTTCCAACACTGGCGGAGAACACTGGAGAAGTCAGAGATAAAAAAAATGAAGGACTTCATTACAGCAAAGAGAAGTTCCCATTGTTCTGTAAGTCGGTAGCGCACTACCTGTGGCTGACCAGCAGAGGGGCTGTCATGAAGACAATGAAAACATTGGGGATTTCAAGCAAGGAGATCTCCACTATTGGCTCTGTGAATGGTTTGAGATTAAATAGTTGGCACAGAGAGAGTATTAAGAAAACTTTACCATGTAAACAAATCACCATAAGCTCAAATAACAATTACCTCCTCCATTACAGATCCACACTCTTTGATATGATCGTCATGTTGCATGACACTGGACAGTGTTTCCTCTCCAGGCCTTTCCTGTCCTGGCCTGCCCTCTCCTCCGCTCTGCTGTGCGCCACCGAGTGCCTCCAGTGGAATGTGATGACCATGGACTCGACAAAGCCCTACATTCATGGCCCCTCTGCCCCTCGTCCCACTCTGGAAGTTTGCGACTGGGAGCCTTGATCACAGAGTGGGGGGTGGCCAGAGTCCATACACCCCTCGCCTGTCCTGTCAGACACGCGTTGCCCACCCCTGCACAACCACATGGCTGCCATTTGCCACATCAGCCATACAGCCCCAATTTGCCGCATTTCATTAAGATTTTCTTCAATCTATTAATTCATGTTGCAGATAATGTAGACGTCTTCCTCAGTTAAAATCCAAAAACAAATACTGAGGAAGAAAGCAGCTTTGGATGTTTTTTGTGTCTGCTTGGCTGATTTGATAAACGGAAAGTGTTTTGTATGACGTCAGAGGAAGAAAGAGAATTATTATCTGTGCACTTTGGAAACAAAACACGTGGCAAGAGGTGGAATTCATTCTGTAACATCTCTTAACCACTAGCAGCCCACCATCCATTATGCTTTCAAACACGGGCTGAGGAGAGGTTGATTGCTAGTACTGTAATGTGAAGAACAAAATAAAGGAAAGCTAAATTAGAGTGTTAGTGTGCATGAAAATGTCAGCATCAATGCTGGTTGATAGATAATCAATTGAGACCAGATTACATAAACAAAGCAATTCACAATACATCATCTGCTGCCTGCCGGATTGTCTGCCTGTCACTACTTCCTCTGTCTGAGTTTCTAATAGCAAACCAACAGTATCCATTTGCCTCCATTGTGTAGGTAATATAATAGAGCCAACAGAGTACTCTGTTCCTCAGAGGCTTTTAAACTAAATTTGCACACATCAAACTCCAAACACAGTAGTTACCATGCATCGACATACAAACTTGCACAAGGCATCCGGGTAAGTTATTCGGGTCTTATTGCTATGCAACATGTATATTCTTGATAGACATACCTAACAACTGCACATTGATATGTGGGATATGTGTTAGTAGGTCTTTTGACATATTGTTTAGGTAGAGCCAGATTCATATGTGTGTGTGTATAATTTGTGAGTCATTTTGAAAGACTGTTTTTAGTAGGAACCAATGGCCTTGAGGCTGAGTGCTACAGATAGGGTCAGAAAGTCGGACAGTATTGTTGGTTTTGGTCTTGGTTTGGTTTTGGGATTTCCTGGGAAAATGTGCAATCAAACAAAAAGAATAAATAAATTAAATGAAAACAAACAAACAAAAAAAGCACTAGTAACCACAAACTACCATCACACGTGGACAGAATCGGAAACCAACCCACGCCAAAGTTCACTTTTTCATTTGAGTAGCTCTGAAAATTACATCATTATCATTACTACTGACACAGCAAATTAAATTGAAACCATTTAGAGAGTAGAGAATGCTGCTTAACTGGCCAACAGAATAATTGATTTTGTAGAAAATGAAGTTGCCTTGTCTGCCAATAGACATGTCCCACTTTTGTCTCTACAGTTGTTGCATTTCTGCTGCAGCAAGTAATTGCTTAGAAAAGTTTTATCAGCCCAAGTGGTCAAGTTCAGTCAACACCATGCATACTTGGTACCACTGGAAAAAAGAAGGCCTCAGTAACAAATGGAGAACTGACTCCCAACAAAGGACAGATGCATAATGAGGAGATGTGTATCGTGACTACAAGAGTAAACAGTCAGACCACACACCAGTCTTGTCTCAAACTACTGGCGATGACCTGCAATGAGCCAAGGAGGTTCCTGTGATTTTCCCATCTGGATACGCTATTACCTCAGTGGGGGATCTCTAATACTGTCATCAGATTTAATGGTTGATTTCCACTCCTGTGTTCCTCTCCAGGTGTGGCCACCCTCCTCACAGACTGCTCCATACACAATTAATGAGAGGAAACTGATGCCATTATAATGGCCTGTATACTCTGACACGTGAGAGAGAGAAAGCTGCAAGACTGGTTTACCCACTGAACAATACAGTTAGAAGAGCAAGCAAAGCCAGGAGGGACTACTGATAGTAAGGTTTTAAAAAGAGGAAGAGTGGCTAGAGTGCTGGATCAAGCATGAAGCTGGCCATGTTGACACAGAAGTGGTGGGTGGTGGATGGGTGGGGTGTTGAAGAAGTGAAAGCACCAGGGGCCAGAGGAGGAACAGACAAAGAAAAGGTTTTCACTCGGTGTGAATGTTTAGAAAACACTTCTGACCTCCTGTACTTGTCTATTCTTACCTGATAAGTTAAAGGTCAATGGTGTAAAGTGAAGGCTGTGTCAAGGCCTTAGGGAGTGTGTGCGTGTGTGTGTGTGTGTGTGTGTTGCTTTAAACAACAACAAAAAACGTAATTGTGGACGTGTAAGGTAAGGCCAGAAGGTTACATGCATCATTTTCATCCGTGAGAAAGTATAGTCATTCCTGGGTTGCGATGTGTTGCACTAATGTTACATTCAACACACCAGATGCTGTCTTCCAGTATTTATTTTTTATTTATTTACCAAAGAAAGGACATGAGCATAAATGTGTACATTTCGGGGCTACAGACAATGTCCAAAGTCCTTTCTCAATTACTGGTTGATGAAATCCAAGCCTCTGTGTGCTGACACCTGAGCGGTGAATCTGGAACAGGAAGTTCAGTGCATCACTTGTTTTGTCTCTTCTATCCAAATGTGAGCAATTCACTGCATCTCTCACCCAAACCAACATGAGAAAAAGGGCCAAACACTTCTACTATACCACACGACACACGTTATAGTAATGTTGATACTATTCCTTTTCCAGCTTATGTCATATTTCATCCCCACACTATACAGCTTAACTGCTAAGTGGCAACAATACGACATATGGAACGGGAAATACTCTGCATTTCAAGCCAACATTGAATTTAAAGGCTCTTATTTATTGTGTTTTCATTCCTATGAGCGTTAGTTTAGTTTAGTTCAGTGTCACTGTGCTCTAAGTGGAGTGGACAGCATGCTTGCTCCCTTAGACATTTCCACTATGTAGTAATTCACAACATACTCTCATGGGCCACAAGGCAGGAGTATATATAGGCCCGTCTAAAATTTCCTCACGTTCTGAGGTCTATGGAGAGATTGGCTAGAGTGCATTTCTCCAGCGGACACTTGCAGCTCCATCCAGGAGATGAATTTCATACTAGGGCTGGCTTTCAATGCTTTTCTGGGGCGTATTTATAGCGGCTGAGATCAGGGAGGTGGAGGCATGCGGGGTGGCCTTCTTCAACCTAGCCATGTTAAGTGATGCTGAGACCGCAGGGGTGGAGCAATCACATTCGGTCATTCCATTCTAAATCCGAACCTCCATGTTTATGACAATAGTAGCGTGACCACGAGTGGTGTGCAGAGCGGTCTCTTTGAAGTCGCCACCAAGCCCTGCCCTTTTAAATACTGGACATAGAGGAGGTTTCAGGGAAAGAAACATATACCTGCAAGGCAGGCACATAGCCATCATTAGTGAGCTTGAGATTACGTGGTGTACAGTTACAAGTAGATAGGACAAATACTGCATGTTTACATTTAGAACTGGAGCCCAGAAGGCTGATTATATCAATCAAGTCTCGGCTTATTACAAATGTAATGTAAACACAGCAGGGCTGCATTATAAATTTTAACTGCTTCATAATTACAGAAATTATAATCCAAATGTCCCATGACTGGGCCTCTAAGTGAAATATCAAGGCATGCAGAATTTTGATGTGTGTGATGTGTTAGAAAAATGTTCGATTGGAGAATTGCTCCAAAATATTGACCAGACTCAATGGCAGCGCTATATAATGAATATGTCAGCACCATATTTGTCAGTTAAATGGCAAGTAACATTTATTGACAAGATGCAAAAGGACTAATGTGCATATTAGTTGTTTCAAAACCCTGTGACAAAGAATGACAAGCTGAATTACTCCTGGCTACAGCTTTGCTTGTCTCTGTAGTGGAAACCAGGCTATCATCTGTCCAGCCCTACCCCTTCAGAACAGATTAGTGTAAATGATCCCCATTTCCAATGGTAGGTAACACAACACAGATTATTATTCTGTGCTTCAGGGGTTTGTGTGGACTCTTCCTGTGGCATGAATCATTGAACAGGTGACTGTAATCCATACAGACTGCTGGCTTCTCAGGGTGAGGGTGAGCTATCTGATGCTGCCTGGAGACCAACTGAAGTCCTCTGCCTCAAAGACAAAGCTCAGATTGCTTCTAACAAGAAATTTGACATGTCTAAAATATAACTACAAAAACGTTTTACAATGCTGGCAAGGAAATTCTAATTAGTTTTTTGATTGGAAGAAAAGGCTGTTGCCAAGTTAAGAAGAGGACAAGAACAATTTGAAGAGCGGCGTTAAGTCCACGGTGGTGCTATAAACAAATTCATTAAGGGGGATTATAATTCCACATATTTGTAACGTGTGCTTAAATAGACATACTTATTTGCAGTTGCACACACAGATAATTAAAAAATGAGTAACAAAAAAACAAAAAATCACAACTACACTGTAGTGATAGTGTGTTTGGTAACAAAGTAAAAGTATCTGCTCACCATTAATCTGAAAATCCCAGGCAGTGTTTCAGTAACCTATGGCAACTGCTTCTGTGTCAACAGAAATCTTGGACAGGGCAGCTCCTGCAGCCCAGGACTGTGCACCACCATTGGCTGGCTGAATGAATGACTTGCAAACTTGTCTATCTATTATGCATGCCAGTTTACCTTTAGTGCATTCTTGAGCTCATTCCCAGGTAAGCAGCTGAGAGGTGGCCTGCCTGCATCGACAGTGACTATCCAATAAACAAAACGGTCTGTTCATCTTGGTAAGGCATTTCTTGTTCTGTTTTGATGTTTTTTTTACATTTTTTTAACTTTTGTTTCTTTTGCCTATTGACTGCAATGAGCCACATAAATGCTTATAATTTCTTTAAGTATACTTAATGAACCAATGAGTATGGAGTTTTTATATTGGATTTAATGTCAGAATCCATTTATTGGAAAAAGATAAATAATATATCTGTGTTCAAATGTAAAGAAAATGCATAAGCCTTAAAATTGAAGCTGATATGTTCATACTTAGGCTGTTATGAAAAGTAATTTTATGCACTGGATTCAGAAAACCAGGGGCACCAAGAGGGAAGCCAAAAATGGAGCTGATTGGATCCACTCTGACAGCCACATATGCTCGGCCAAAAACCAGCCACTTCCTCCCTGCCATCTCCACCATGGCATCCAGCTATCGCAACACCCAGCCTGTCTTGGCCATGAATCCTAGTGCCAACCTGTGGAGGACCAACAGCTACTACAAGAGCAGCAGCACTGTCCCAACCCCCTCTTCCATACAGCGAGAGAATTTTGATCTGGTTCGAGCCAAGACCTTGTTCTACCCATCCAACAGGACAGCACTGACCACTCGATACACTCCAGACGACTGGTACAGGTCCAACCAAAGCAACTACAGGGAGTCCGAGTCGTCCAGAAAAAGTGCAGAGAGACTGAGACGAGACACAATCAGGCTGATGCAGGATAAGGAGCAGCTCACCAGACGAACCCAGGAAAATACCAGCAAGAACATTGGCGAGCGCCTCAATGACATTGTCTTCTGGAAGTCTGAGCTGAGCCATGAGATTGACAACATGGTGACAGAGATAGCAGCCCTCACTGAGGTCAAGAGGAGGCTGGAGAGAGCCTTGGCAGAGACTGAGGGGCCCCTTCAGGTGAGAGCGGAAGGAATATGCATAAATGAGTGTGTGTGCGTGTGTTTGTTACCGTGACCTTTTCCTCTTTGGGGGGCAATATCGAAATTTTGATTTGCGTTACTGGAACATTTTCAGGAAATATTTACAATTCTACATGGACAAATTGTATTTACGCTGAAACCTTAACACCCTAGTCAGGCCTCACATTATCATTCATGCTTGTCATGTCTCAGAGTGCATCACAGTATCTGTGGTGAAACCGTTTTGACTAGGGTTCCCGCTGTGGTTGTAGCAACAGTATCTGTCTGATAATTAGGTCACCTCAGTGTTCTATTCAAACGCCACTGGTCGTTTGTGCCACCCAGAGAGAGTCAACATGATCTAGCTGGAGGTCTGATTATACACACACCTTTCTGGGCTAAGATCATGTGTCAACAATCTTAAAGACTTCTTCAGGTGACTGAAACTGGAGAATGCAGCTGATACATTGTGCAATGTTTGCCCACAGGGACATATACATATACACTTGTATATCATACCTGCTCACATGAGTTCCTTGCCTATTTAAATGTCACAATGAAGAAAATGCTGCCTGTTGAGTGACTTTTAACTCTACGAAACTTGTTTTAGTCATGATCACTCTGTCAATAGGTGTCTCAAGAGTGTTTGTACCACAGAGAGAAGCGGATGTCCATCGATCTGGTACATGATGATGTAGAGAAAGACCTCATAAAGGTAATTGACTTCTGTGACTTCTGATACCAACCTCGGGAAAAAAGATAAAACATGTTCTCATATTATTATTTTTATTTGCCTGCACCGCAACAAGGAAGTGGAAGTCATCAAGTCATGTCAAGAAAGGATGAGGCGACATCTGGACAGAGCCATTGCTCAGCTGGCGTGAGTCTGAAATATCAGTTAGAATCCTGCATTTAGTATGGCTTTACTATTAAATGGTTATTTCCAAAACTGTGAAGGTTGACATGCATTTGATGTATCGTTTTGTTTCTGTATTGTTTGTGGGACCCCTTAGGTCCAACCGAGCTGCCCAGCATGAATTGGAAAGAGATTTAAGTGACAAAGTGACAGCTCAGAGAATAGATGACAGGTGTCACCATCTAAGGAACACATCAGATGGTATTGGCTACTACAGAGGGATTGAAAGGCTGGACCCCTCGTGAGTATAGCTTTAATATGTGATCAAATCAGCTGCTAACGATTTCTCATGTCTGTTTAAACCAGCTTGGATGGGCTGTTGAGTTTAAATTCTCAATGACAGAAAACTCAAACTGGTTATCTGCAGCCCTATTTTGTTTTCTTAAATTACGTTCATACCATAACAAGTCAACAGCCGTGGTAGCAGCTCTGTGAGGCTGTACTTGTAGTGCTAACATCAGCATGCTAACAGTGAAGTGCTGATGTTGAGCACCACCTTAGTTTAGTGAGTTGACATGCTAACATTTGCTAATAAAGCTCTAAACACAAAGTACATCTGAGGTTGATAGAAATGCCATTAGTTTGCAGATATTTGGTCAGAAACCAAATGCATTTATGAAAGCGCTACATAAGAAAACAAGGGATCACCAAAGTTATTACAGTTCACCTTGAGAAGGACATGAATTTCTGTACCAAATTTCATTTCATTGCCCAAAACCACAAATGTGAACCTCAGGATAATGCTAGAGATGTATCATAGTAGTTGAGATATTTCAGTCTGGATCTGTAAGTGGTAGACAGACCAACACACCGATGTTGCCTTCCCTGGAGCCACGTCGCTCGCATGGCTATCTAAAAATGTTTTTGGCCAAGCCTTCTCCATATACATCATCTTCAAACAGTGGGAGTATAAACTTCCACAAGCATATGTCATTCATTTCCCTCTGTCAGACTCTCTCTGCCAGATTCGTGGTCCAAGTTCACAGACGACAACATCCTGCACTCCCAGAGCGAACGGGCTGCCTCCCACAAGCTCAGGGAGGAGATTGAAATCCTGCTGAACACCACCTCCAACGAAATGTGGAACCAGTTCAACAACGTCAACGTAGCCTTCACAAACCGCATTTCAGAAACCGCTGACGCTAAGAACAGCCTGCAGACACACCTGGCTAAGGTCATCACCTTTTCTACATGGTTCTATTTCATAAATGACAAACAAAAACACAATTTATCATTCTATCTTGGTGATGTTTTTAAAAAAAAATTTATTTATTCATTAGGGCGGCGCTGTGGTTAGCACTGTTGCCTCACAGCAAGAAGGTCACAGACCTTCTGTGTGCAGTTTGCATGTTCTCCCCGTGTCCACGTGGGTTCTCTCCGGGTGCTCCGGCTTCCTCCCACCGTCCAAAGACATGCAGGCTAGGTTAATTGGTGTCTCCAAAATTGTCCTTAGGTGTGAGTGTGAGTGGTTGTTTGTCTGTGTGTGGTTCTGCGATGGACTGACGACCTGTCCAAGGTGTACCCTGCCTTTCGTAAGCTGGGACCCTGTACGCAGGATAAGCGGTTGATAATGGATGGAAATTTATTCATTATTATCAAAGTTGTTCCTTGATCAATTTGTGTTTCGCTATGTCAAAATAAAACGTTAAAAGGCGTGTATTATTATTATATAAAAACAGTGGGTTAAGAGACATCACATGGCTCTATGTCAAGGAAAAAGACAAAATCCATTCACTCTCTTCCATTACTGGGTAACTAAATTTGCCACCTATTACGAAGAGATCATGTGTTCGACCATTCTTTCTCTTTTCTACAAGTAATACAAATAGTACCTGTACTATTCTCAGCAACATTTTCAAAATTTTGTACCAAATGCGGAATGTAAGATACATGTTGTCTGGAGGATTACGTGTATCTTTACTGTAAAACATTTCTGTCAAGAGAGGAATCATAATAAAAGCGTCTTTCATTGCTCATGACATATTCTACACTGAAACCCATTGTTCTCGGGTTAATTGCTGGAGGTTACACTCTGAATCGATATCAGCTGTTGGATGGGTTTGAACACTGACAGCAGCTGTGATGAGAGGCATACAGTCCTTAATAAACCTTAATAAGACCAAAGTCACTATCTGTTGTAACGAGTAGAGGTTCGCTGGAATTAAATTACATCAAATGGGTTTGGACAGAGCTAGCCCCTGTGCAGCACTGTGTTCCGCTGATTTGAGGCTTGCAATGTGCAGCTTTTTACTTCTCATCTTTTTTTTCTTGTCACTTGTTCCTCCTTTGACCTAAATACTACCTTCTACACCAGCTGACCATGCTATTTTCATGAATGAGACATCAGCTGTTGCATGATCTCACAATGTCATTTTATTCTGTATCCTCCTTGTCTCCTCAACCAGACTTTGCAGGAGATCTTCCAGACAGAGATGCTGATTGAGTCTCTGAAGAAGGCCCTCAGAGACAAAGAGGGTCCACTTAAAGTTGCCCAAACCAGGATGGAGGAAAGGACCCGCAGGCCCAACCTAGAGCTCTGCAGGGACAATCCACACCACAAGTATTATATTTTCTTTAAAAATCTAAATATCACAAATGTCATTTTCTACAAGTTCTACAAACATTTTTCCAAAAAATCTATCACACTCACCAAGATAGTTGAACATTGAGGTCTAGAGTAAAAAAACATAGTTCTTTAACAGTATCACTTGATATCCTAGAGATAGAAATTATTATTTGGGTGGCGATGTCACAGTGGATAAAACACATGCCTTTGGTGTGGGAGACCAGGGTTTGATTCCCACTGTGACATCCACCAATGTGTCCCTGAGCAAGACATTAACCACAGTTGCTCTAGAGGCGTGTGGCCTCCGACATACAGTATATAGCAATTGTAAGTCACTTTGGATAAAAGAGTCAGCTAAATGACTTAAATTAAAAATTTAAAATATAGATTAAAATACTTTTTTTATTTTTTTATTTGGTCATATATTTTGAGTGTGATAAAACTGGGGGAACACTATTGGTGCCATCACTTGGCTTGCTTGAATGATTAGACACACAACTAAACCAAAAGCCATGAGAGAGGACCAGAATTTTCTAGCAGTATCTACGTAAATTCAGTCACTTGCTCAACAAAAGTTAGTGTCACAAATTAAACACACTTCCAGTTTCCATTTTTATTTGGATGTTAAACTTTTAGTGAAACTACCTTCGTTGCACTGACGTATTGTGACATAATGGATTTACATTTTTCATTTTAGTCAAGGTACATTTTTAGGTGTTTTTATCCTTCCTTGTTTAGACTTGTGGGTGAGGTGAGAGAGATCGAGGACACCATCCATAAGCTTCAGGAGAGGCTAATGGAGGCTGAGAACACTTTGCAGACTCTGGTCAAGACCAAAGTGACCCTGGAACATGACCTGTCCATCAAGGCAAACTCACTCTTCCTGGAACAGGAAAAGTGCATGAGCATGCGCAAGAGCTTTCCCAGCATGCCCCGTCTGGTGGGCTACACCTAAATCAACTCTCAAAGTAGGGATCCTTGGAGGACCAATATAATTAACTATGACTGTTTTAATGGTTTTGGAGTGATTTAGAGGGTGGTGTGGGTGATCTGAATGTAAGCGAAATTAATTAACTTTACAGACAAGGTCTTCAAAATCTGATTATAAACAATGGAATATACATTTTGAGTATGATTATTGTACTTGTTAGTGCACAAAAAGAAGAAAAAAATTAAATGTTGTGATGCCGAAGAATCAACTGCCATGGCAATCAATCAGGATCTACTCAGTGTCTCCTAATGCTTTAATTGTGCCTCCAATTTACTGCATACTGCTAACCTTTATCCTTCAAAAAATGCATGAAACTTCTGTATACACTTGAAAGGTATACATTAAAAGTATTGTTAATGATCAAAAGTAACCCTCACACCTTCTGTAAACTTCCTAATATCATACAAGAAGAAGAGATGCCTCAACAGTCAAAGGGGAGCACTGCCAAAATTAGGAATAAACAATCACGTAATATGTTTTGCAACAACATTCACGAAAAATACACACATTTTATGGTGTGGTGTGTCATCCAAACCAGGGTTCAGTGGAGCACAAACAGGAATCCTAGATACACATGCGACTGTAACCACCAAACAAATAGCCTGGATTAGCTTGTGTAACACAGCCGTCTCTAAAACAAAGACAAACCCACACGTCTCTTTAGCTTAGGCCCCAGCCACATTTTCGTTTTAAAACGGAGACCTTTTGCTACGTTTGCAACTCCCGTCCAGACTAAAATGGTGAAAAGGAAGACCTAAAACATAAAAGTTTTAAAATGCTCCCGAGCCCGTATTTCGTTTTAAAACTCTGGAGAGCGTTTTAGTGCGGACAGGCAAAAACGGGTGGCTTTAGAAATGATGATGGTCATGCAAAGAAGAAACACAATGCTATATTGAGAGTTTTTTATTTGGTATTTTTATTAAAATATTTTGTACCATGCAATTAACACTACTACTATTACTACTACTACTACTGTGCATGTCACTGTTTACTTTGCGATGACTCCCAATCTGTTTTCCACCACCACACTCCTGTGTTACATAAAGTAACAGTCCCAGCTCGTTATTGGTCCAAGCAAAACAAAATCTGGTGTGATTCTTCATCTGTATTTGTTTATTCTTTCGCCAAATCTTCTTTAACTACAGAATAGACCATCTGCTTCATGTTTACATGAATACTCGATGTGTCGTTTTAATATAGACGGAGATCAACTCTGAAACGCTAAAACGCTGTTGTGGATGGAGATTGTATTTGTTTTAAAACTCAAGTAGTGTGGATGGGGCCTTTAAACTACCTGAATGTCACCTTATGAGAGCGTTGACATGTAAGAGACTGTGATTTGAAGGTTTGACTCCGACTCCAAGCACACATCCTTAGTCAGATTAGTTTAGTGCAAACAGAAATATGAATTGTTAGGAATTTTTATGTCTTTACTATGCTTCTTTAATGTCTGGTGTGGCCACTTACCTCACCCACAGGAGGAGCTGGACAAACAATTCAGTTATGTATAAAACCCCACACCCTCCCCACTTCTCATCAGCTTCTTTCTTTCCCCCTTCGTCTCCACCCATCTGTTCCCTGATGCCTTCATGCTCCTCGACTTGATCCACAAGATGTGGATGTTTTTTATTCAGTCAGCAGCTTTCAAAGACTAAACCAACTTTGGACACACATAAACACTATCACACTCCTTACCCCCCCCCCCCCCCCACACACACACACACACACACCCCACTGCACTTCCTGCATAACTTTTGGCTTCCCAGAAGAATGTAAACTCAGCTCAAATCACCAATACTGTTGTAATTTTGTCTACACATTAGTCGCCACATCTCCAATCATTACATTGATTACCATTTTCTGGTCAAAGGGGAGGTCACATCACATGGTTAAAGAGCTGCATTCTCTGATTTGAAAATACTTACTTTATGTTCCCTGTGCTAATTCTTTTGTTATTTCCACTGCAGTAAATTGCTGTTTCATATCGTTGCCATCACCTCTGGGACGAGGGTATATACCAAAATATGAACCAGTATGAATGAGTGTCTAAAGACAAAGTGAATGGAAGTGGGAGACAGATCCTAGCTTGACTGGCATAGTAATCAGAGATATAACTCTAAGCTGTTAAAGGTCATGAAATTTAGTTCCACTGAATCCCTTCAGTGGCTACAGCATGACAACTTCTTGTGTAAACAGAGAGTAGATACAGTTTACAGTTTCCCAACACGGAGACAGAGGGAGGGTCCACACCACTATGTGTGTGCACCTTGCACTTTGATTTAGGTGTAATGTTTTACAACTGTATTGTAAGTGACAGTCACAGTGAGCTGAAGAGTTGTCTCTGCTGGGCAAACAGCATTGTGTTTGTCTAAAACCCTCAGGAGCAAGTCAATGGCTGGGGGTCTCTGCGGTGTGTGTTTAATGTGTGTGTGTGTGCGGAGGCCCTCATAGTCCCACTCCTGTGCCCAGGCACATTCCTGAGCCCTAGTACTGCAAAGAAAGGTCCCCTGTTGTCTAGCTCACATCAAAAGACTCTCTGCTCTCATCACCTTGTAATTAAACATACTGACGGATAGCAAGGAGTTGAGGGTTTTCTACCGTCTTATCTTTCCCCTTTGCTTTCCCCTTCCAACTCCCACTTAATGGCTCAGAAATACACAGTGGAGGTACCCATGAAAAGTCTGTTCACCTAAGTGGAATGAACCTCTGATTCCCTGTCGCTCATGCTTTGCTTGAGGCTATGGTTCTCTTTCTGGATGGGACTCAAATAAACCTTCCTATTTGACCTCCTCTACCACCTCGACATATGGGGAATGTACTCTAGAATTCTTCCCGCAGTCCAAACATACTGGCAGTTTATTTTTAACACCCGCTCTTGTTATAGATGCCCTGTGCCCCATGTTATTTTGTGTTTTTACATACCATCCTACCACACCAAAGAGCTGATCTCAGATCACTTGGAACTGTAATTACAGATTTGGATTGAGTGTGTATCATAAGAGAAGTGGTGGACGTCATTGAGACTATTTGTATTATCCTATAGAGGTTATATTTCTGACCAACTGACGATTACAAGTCCAATATTCGCTTGCCTTTTAGCTCTATTTTGGTCTCCACCAACACTCATAATGTGGATAGCTGTTTGACTTTCAACTCTGTGTTAATTTGAAGTTTCTTGTGGCTTCCTGGTGCTGCTAGAAACAAGGCTGTTGAGAGTGGTGAATTTCAACAATTTCACCCCATTAAATGTCCATCTTCATCCAAAACAGTGAAAAAACAACACTTAAAGAGGCAAAAAAGCTTTGCTGAGCTGCAAAGGATTCACTAGGAATAAACCATATCACATCACATTAAGCTGTATCATTCAACATTAATATAAAATGTTGATTAATGCAGGTTAAGCTGGCAGGCATACTGTAGCTGTCTCTATTCAAATTAGTCTAAATCGATTTAAAGAGCATATTTCCCCTAGCTGTACTATGTAATTATTTCCTTCTCTGCAGATGCAGGTGATTTATCCAACAGATCCTTTGTGCCAATTCAATTTTGGGCCTTGGTCTACTACCCGGACACAGTAACCACAGCAACCATTATTAGCAAGCATTATTAAATTGAATCCTCTCCAGAGCAGACCGTATCTTACTCCATGACTCCCCTAATCCATCTTGAACTTCATTGTAAAAAAGAAAATACAACATAAACCTAAAACATGAAACGGATCAAATACTGAACGAATAACATGTAAGATAAATTAATCATAAAAAAGTGTGTCTGGGTCAACAAATATCCTAAAAATCAGGAAATCATATGGACATGGCTTTTACTAGAACATCTAGTCTAATATTCCTCTAGCTCAATGATATGAACATTTCTCACTTCATTTCCAGTCATCTCAAACTGCCAGAGAGCTCTTCCGGCAACTTCTGGATCTGTGCCAAAACTCTGAGTTTTCTCAATGTGCTATTTGGCTGCTCCATCATTGGACAGCGGAGTTTGACCATTACTGTAGGCTAGGATAAAACAAATAAAGAAACTAAGCGGGAATCCATTGAGTAATCACCCTAGTAACCGTTATGAGCTACAGAGAGGAAGCTGGAAACAGACTGATAAGACAGGATATTCTATGTGGTTTGAAGAACCTCATGCCAACCTCATGTACAGGGGCTTTGTGGTTGTATGTGACTGTCTCCTGATCCTTGCTCACATGAAAAATCTTTACCTCCCTAAACTTTTAGTTAGTCAACATTATAGTCCCTGAACATTCTGCACATAACTGTGTCTCCAACCAGGGAGTTGTGATAAGCCAGATAAGCCAAATTGCTTACAAAAGTTCAGAGGTCAACCATAAAGACTGGAACATACAGTACAATGTATAGAAGACTGAGGTCTTGTGGATCATTGGTGTGATTGAGTGGAATTCTGGAACAATCTATAACATCGTCCAATTCTTCTATTTCTAAAAAGACAATGGGGTGGAGAAAAGAGCGACACAGAGCTCAAGATACAGTACTGCAGTCTTTCCTGCTGAATCATAGTGGGGTGAGGATGACTTAGAGATATGCCCTTTAGTCTGACTTAAAGCCACATTTATTAAATGTAAATCTGGAATCAAGGGAAGAAGCACAGTTCCTATGAGAAAAAAACAGCCTTAGTTCAACACAGCACACAGCTAAATAAAGAGACGGTAGTGTTTTTTTATCCATAGAATTTGCAAATTTTCTTAGATGGTGACCTCACTGTCATGCTTATATTCAAGCCACATCTTTCACCATTTACAAATTGAATGACACATGGACATGTGTGAATTGTGACCATATGATTTTAGATATTTCTGATGACATGGGCATATTAGAGTCTTCAAGGCTACTCTTTAATGCCTGAGTTTGCTTAATAGCTTAATTTCAAATAGAGCTATTTAATTATCCCACAAAAAACGAGATTTTAGGGTTAGAATTAGAATTAGGTAACTTACTCATAGTGTGCAACCTTTCACTTTTCCACTGGCTACACTTAATTATTATCTTGTTAATTTGAGCTTTCATTTGATCCTGACTCACAGACGAGGCCTTCTGTACTCACATCACAGTGTATTTTAAAGGGACAGGGCTCGTTTTACCCCTTTGTTGTCATCACTCTGTGTCTAGTCTGATTAAAGTGTGATGACAAGACAGTTGTGAGTAGCTTAAAATGTATTGACACACATTAAAAACAGACTGTATTAACCTCCAATCTCTTTCAGCCTGTCCCCAATGTGCGTGCCCTTCTTTGTGTTCCTAATAGCCCCGTCCAACATCTCTTTTCAGATGGTCTGTACATGCTTATTATTGCTAGTATTTGCTATGACTATAATTGTAGTGACTGGCATCATGTGATTTCTCACTCATGCTAAAGAAGTACTGTATGTAAGAGTTTGTTTGAATCTGTCAAGCCGGGTCTGTAAACAGTTTGGTGCACCGGGGCCAGAGGACTCCACTGTGAGTTGAGAGAGGGGCAGTCCAACTCTGCAAAGCCGCAGTAGGAGGGGAGCTATTAAACTACTGCAACTCAGTTGACCAACAGACAGTGGCACTTCACATGCTGATGGACTGACTCACCTTTGACCGACACCTGCCACTCAAAGCAGAAGGCCTGTTCGCTAGCGGTGAAATGGTAATGCAAATAGGCCTTCCCTCTGACCTCTAAGGAGCATGAGCTGGAGCCACTGTCTCAAAGTCAAGCTGAAAAATATCTGCTGTGAGTTTGAGCCATTTATTCATCACAGTTAATGGATTTGGGACTGAGTCAAGGTAAATGAAATTGCACACAATGTAATCAAGTAAAAGAATGCAGCCTGTCACATTGTTTTAATGTCAACATAAATGGAATCTAATTGCGTCAGGGACAAGGTCCCATCGTTGGTGATGTGCTTTTGCTACATCACCATCTATAATGCCACTTTATTTTAGAGATAGAATAGGAATTATTTTGGCAGATATCCCTTATGATGGCCGCATCTGTTTTAACACTCTTCTCTGTGTTGGTATGTGGATGGAGTTACTGCAACTCAATCACGTCTACTCTCCAGATTCATGAGCTCTGGCTCTGAGTCCTATCTACGGTTTTGGTATGCACTCTCACTGTCTGCCGTGCTAACGTGAGGATAAGTTGTACCATTTTAACGATGGAGGTGAAATGTTAGATGCTTTTCCAGATGTAACATAATTCAGTATCGCGGTCTGAATGTTTGTTATGTAGCTCTCCCCAGAGAGTTTGGCTTCAGTGCCGGCCTCACAAACACAGTAAACGTAACACTCCCATGTCCACTCAGCCCACTGATTGTCTTTTACAAACATTGACATATAAGGGATGGGAATAAGGAGCGCCTGCACAGCTACTCCACAGTTTTTACAAGAGTTCTCCTCTACAAGTCACTGTAAGCCTTTACTGTTAACCAGTTCTCTGCTCATATGATCAGAGTTCAGGCCTGATGATTCAGTGAACACCAGAGTAATAAACTAAATTAAATACACAACGCAAATCACCTACAGAGCAATCACAGCAAGAGGTGCCATGCAGCTCAGGCAAAAATGTCACATACTTTGATTACTGAGCAGCCACAAAGCTCTCACTCAGAGCAGCACTTCGTGGCTGTGATCTGGTCTAATAATTGTCCCTTCTCTCGTGTGTGGGCATAAACACAGCAGAATGGCCTCTGTTATCATATGAGTGTGAGAAACACATACAGAGGCATCCAGGAAGTGTGTGCTAAGTGGTGAAGAATAGAGTGTGGATATTGACAGGGGTTATCTGAGGCCAGGCAGATCGTAAGCTGAAAGAAGAAAGTGCGTGTTATATAATATGCTGTCCATTGAGGAGGCCCATATTTTGGTTTGAAATAAATATTTGACTTTTTGCTGAATTGAAGGAGTGTAGGTTTATTGACTCATGAACACAGTACATTCAGTGTTATCGGAAAACCATAAAGATCATACTGTATTTGGAAATGATGTGTGTAGAATCAGTCCAACAATCTGCTTCATCAAAATTGTCAATCTTGTTAATCTCTTAACTAACTGTCCAGAAGAAGATCCAGAGGGAGAGATAATAAAGTCACTTCACACACAATGTTTACAGTTTTGACCACTCCCTGTAATCCCTATATATATTTCCTGGAATTCCATTTATTGCAGCGCCATATTTATAGGAGTATCCTCAGTGCATATGTTTATGTACACATTAGCAACAGGGAACGCCATCTCACTCCCACTGGTAATGAGTCATGTCAGACAGAGGAGAGCCCCAGATGCTATCTCTCACTGGTGGTGTGCTGGGCATACCCATCCACACTTACACACATACTGTGAGTCACGAGGCAGACTACATGAGCATGAGGGGGAAAAGACCCACATTACAACAATTTGTTTGCGTTTCTGATTGCCAAGGCAATGAGAAGCTGAGTTTACAGGGAAACATCCCATTTTGGAAAAAACTCCAAAATACCTTATTCATACTCTACTGTACTATAGACACAAACGTTATCAAATTCAGGAAATGCCTGACAAAGACATATTGCTTGGCTAAAACTTCTACCAAAAAGCTGAGACAATCTATAACATAATCAAATCATACATAATAAAGGTTTAAATTAAGCTGTGTAAACATGTGTGCAATCCATTGCCAAGCTTGTCCAACATTTCACTCAAATATGTTCCTATTTAATTTATCAAAATAAAAAAAATCTATGTTGGATATACCTCTGTTATATGTAAATTCTATATTAACTGAGCAAGCAGCAGCATCCAAATGGATTTCCAAAGTACAGCGCTATGTAATTTGCAATAACAGCAATAAAAGCTGAAAACAGCTTCAGACAGAAGGGGAAAAACCATCGAAAGCAGATAGCTGCTTTTAGTTACCACGACAGCCAAACACTGTTCAGTCAGGTCACTACACACACTACCGAAAGTTAGTAACTAAGGCAACCCATGCGCTATTACGCATGGAGCATCTATATTGGGAATCCAGGCTGTGGAACAGAGAGTTACTCCATGACGCAGCGACGCACGCAGGGCGTTGCTCTTCCATAATGAGACACTTTATAACAGAACGTCAGCCCTGGCATCAATCTAGTCTGAGAGCCACTTTTAGCACTGAGGGACTACCGCTGTTGGACTCGTTTTGGAAAACTTGATTTTGCTTCTTGCAAGCCTGAACCTTATTTTGTGGAAATACAAGCTCCCCGCTCTAAGTAAGTGGACTTTGGTCTCTTCTAAACTTGCCTATTCAGCTGCAACAGAGTCTGTCCTGGCGGATTAAAGACGGAAACACGCTTTTCCCTGCAAAACCCGCGCCCCTTTGACTGCACAGACTGAGGGCTGAGCTGTCATCGCAAAAACCCTGTCAATAAGCTTTATTTGGTCGCTATAAGAAATTATTATATCCGATATATAAATATAAATTATATGCAATTTTACTTTGCGATTTCTTTTGATTCGTTCTTAGATTGTTTTTAAATATCACGTAGATTACAGATCAACTGTCATTACTCAAATAGACACGAGCAGGCAATTTAAAACAATTTTAAAAGTACAGAATGACGAGCAAAAATTAGTAAAATTTGAAAAGAGACTTTTCAAAAGGCTTTTCAGGACCATTTGGCTTTGTTTGAGTAAATAGCCTAAAAAAGAGATGGAGTCCTTTAGATCAGCTTCCAACTTGCTGTTGAACTGTGTTTCCCCACATGTAGAATATAATGACTATCTCTTAAATGCGCTGTTATTATTGTTAACGTACCCTGCATCTGACAGAGACTGTTCCAAAAGAGTTTTCTGCAGCGACACACCCATGTCCCACCAATCTGACACACACACACACATACTGACAGAGAGCGTCTCCTCTTCTCATTACTGTCCAGATCGTCTGAAAAGATGCTGCTCCTACTACTGGGAATCATCCTCCTGCACATCGCTGGTCTGGTTCTCTTGTTTGTGTCGACAATAGTCAGCGTAAGTAAAACTGTCATTATGTTTTGGGGTTTTTTTTGGCTTTGTTCAGATGCCAATTTAAGGATTAAATTGTATATAAAAATTGACTAAACCCCACAATTGAAGCTTACAGGCATCTAATGTATGTTTTCTCTCTATAATTTCAATTAAACCTGATTACTAAAGACTTCATAATTGTGTCTTAGGAATTTAAATGTGCCAATGAAAGTTTTTTCCATTTGGTGTTGCTCTTCACACATTACTGAACAGATTGTATGTTGTTGACACCAGGTATGGACATCAGGTGAAACTAGCACCTCAGACCTCTGGATAAACTGCTCTACTGCCAATGGAGGATACCACTGTGAACCAGCATCATCTGGAGGTCAGACTGCAGACCACTTAACTATATAGCATTAATACAACTTCAACAACTTATTTAATATGTATTTTCAACACACCAGCTAGTACCGGACATTTAATGCTCTGCTGTTAAACTGTGATACATTATGGATTTCTTCCCTGATAAGTGTTTTGGGCAAAATGTTCTCAACTAAAAAGCCTGATAGAATTGAAACAAGTTTAAACCATCCACCTTGATATTATTGGGGGACTTAATCTTTGGAAAATTACTTGCTGTAATCCAACATTTAGCATGTTGATGATGTGGGTGTGTCACGGCTCCTCTGGGACTCTGGTGCCATCTAGGGCAGAGAATGTGGCAGTGTCGTTTTGAAGCGCTAGCTGATAGGCTGCCGCCGTATAAATAGTCGTGGTGTGATGTCCATATTCAGGTTTCGTGTTGGGAGTCCATAGTGACAGGAGTTAGAGAGTTGTGGATCAGGGTGGGGCTGCAGAGGGTATTTAAAGTTTAAGATCTATGTGTGTGTGTCTGCCTGCCTGTGTTTGAAAGCAGGGAGACCTTGGGCTACCTCATGCAGAACATAGCATGCTGATGGTGGGTCACGCCCAGTGTCAGATCATAGTGTCCAGTGATAGTCTGCAGGGATCATTAGGACAATTTAAGACAGCAGCTGCAAGTTTAGGGATTTATTTAGACAGTCAGCCACCTCCACATGTTTGAATTAGATAAGATAAAGAGGAGTATGGATATGTAGATTCCACAATTTTTGAAGACCCCTTCCTAATAACATTTCCATTGTCAGGAAATTAATGATTTAGCAACCAGTAAATGTAAGATTACTGTTGAGTAGCTGCATGTTTTGCTACTAAATGTGCCGTCACAGTGGTGCAGAAGGTGCTGGCTGAAGCGGAGTGATGTCATTTGTCTAGAATGAGCTGTGCTCAGCCTGTGTGTGTTTTGTCAGGGCAGCAGCGCCTGTATACTCTGCCAGGTAGTTTGATGGTGCAGCCAGTTTGTTTGACTTGCTTTCATTAGTCTACTGACGCACAGTGTTTATTTAAGAAGGCGTGCATGCTCGGGTCTGTGCTTTGGCTTAGGGAGATGGAAGATAGTGGTCTACTCTCACGTGGGGGCCAAGCCAGCATTCAATAGGGCATTTTGAAGCTTTGCTGAGCAGTCAAGTTCCTTCTGAAGTGAGTCATAATCATGGTCATGATAGTTATTTTTGGGACATTTCTGGAACTTCTGAGTTTCCCCTTTTTATTGCCTAAGTTACAAAAATATTGCCTGCATTTAAATTTGATGACGCCCAAGTGAGCAATATCTCATGTCACAGTTATCACATGCTGAGCTTCAGTTAAACATCACATCCTGACAGCCAGGAAAATTACTTCATAGAATTTACTCGCTCTAAAATTAGCTTTTTAGGAAGAATGTCTTCTTCCCCAACTCAAGGCCTACAATGCATAAACATTGTGAAGTAAATACTACATCCGTTTTATTTCTGTTGTGCACTAGCACAGTGGGGTGTAGAGCCTCAGTACAGAAGGCAGAAAGACACCAAAGATCAGCAGTTATTTTCCTGTTTGGTCTTCAGTAGAAGCTGTACATTTATGCATTGGAAATACCACAATCATAAACCACAGCATTCATGTAAATATTTAAATGTGAGTCATACTTGCTTATCAGTGATATTCTGAGCCCTGAACCCCGCCTCATGCTAGGAAATGCCCCATGTCACAGTTTCCTACTACTAGTCAGTGAAGGAAGGAAGGAGGACAACATTTGTTTATCAGAAAGCAGTGAGGTATTGTCTGTATTTATAGGTGAGCACTATTCATAGGAGGGGGATGGAACATTTCACCCATTTCTCAACGTTATCACACAGTATTATGTAACATCTGTTAACAGGATCATTATAGTGGATTCTAATTGCGGCTCTGGTGCAGTATTGTGCTGGCGGCATTTTGTGGATGGAGATTTACCGTGTGTCATGTTTCCTCCCATATATCATGAACCAATGATCATTAAGACATACTGTGGCGCTGTCATTGTAGGCAACCTGACTCCAAAATGGCAAACCTGTGCAATCATTCAAGATACTGTTTCCCTTCAAATCTATAACAGAGATATTTCAGTGTTTCTACAGGAAAACTGTATAATTCTCTGTAAATGTCTTCAGACAAAATACGATACGGGGCTATGAAGTGTTTTTATTTTAGCCTCCAGTGTTGTGTTGTGGTTAGTGAAAGTCGTAACATCACACAAAGTAAGCTGTCTTACTTAATTAATCATCCTTTTCGTTCACAAGTATGAATAGTAATAATTTATGCATCATGCCCTTTCCACAGTGTTATAAGTGCTCCCCATTAAACTGCTACATTCCTTTGATTTACATAATGCAACAGAATCAACAAACCACAGATAGCTGAGAATGTTGAAAGAAACACGTCAGAGATTTGAATGTCAGAGTTTGGCAGTGGCATGGATACAGATGGAGTCCACTTTTATAGACTTATCTGAAATATTTGCTGATACTAGGATAGGGCAGAAGCATATGAGTGGACTGGGATGTCACAAAAACACGAGAGTAACAGCAGGTACAGCGAGAGAGTTGGATAGGCATAGAGAGAGGGAGAGTGTGCTCTTTGGAAAACTGAGAAGCTAAGGACGTGGCATGGATAACCCTCAGACAAGAAATAGACCATATTTGGAAATCCTGGGATTTCTGGCATGGTGGCACGATTGAAGCACAGACACAAAAACACAACCAGACACGCCGATGGATAGCACAGATAGATGGTCTTCCCTGTCAATACAGTTGTCTAATGAGTTAATGTGTTCGAGCAGCCTGGCCTTGGAGGACTAGCAGTAACAATCAATGCGGTACATTTAGTCAGTTGTCCAGCTGCAAGGAGCGTGCAGAGCTTTTAGGAACAAGATACCTAGGTTTAATTGTTATGGATCCATTACACATTCCCAGAAATAAAAATGGCCAGGGCTAGCTCATTATGTTCTCTTTGAGGGGTTGCTTAAATTCAGCAGAGACAAGACCAGTGAAAGTACTTTGGCATTTGTTTTTTCATTTGTCTCCACTTACCTTTTTATACAATCAGCAAGTCAATGTTATATATAAATTATGCATTGGATAATGATGATAATACAAGTTTAATAATTATAATGAACCATCTTGTTTTCAAGGTAGTCCTAAAAAAATAATGATGATTGTGGGTCTGTTACTAACAACACTCTTTTTCTTCTCCCTCCTCCCCCTACAGTGTGGATTCAAGCGGTCCAGGCTCTCATGATTCTATCCATCATCTTCAGCTGCCTGTCTCTCTTCCTCTTCTTCTGCCAGCTCTTCACTTTGCAGAAGGGTGGACGCTTCTTCCTCACTGGAACCTTCCAGATCCTTGCCAGTGAGTTCAATCCCCCTTGACACTTCCTCACAAATCCATCGACAACACAACTGAGATCACATTAACAATAGATAAATCAAATAGACAATACTCTGGTATATTTTTGACTAGTATCAACACAAAACAAGTAAAAATTTTATTGGATCCAGTATCCACTAGTTTAGGAGTGCATTTTCATCCGTCTGTAGTTTTTCGTTGATCAGATTTTCCCTCTCCTAGTTACATCTTCAAATTGCTTGCATTGCAATTGAAAATCGTATAAAACAGAGAAAGGCAGCCAAACCTTAAGTTATTTCCTTGACATACAATCACTTGCTAATCAGCTTAAGACTAATGTTTTCAGCACAACTCTGATGTGCTCAATTAGTTCAGTAACACATGTTGTCTAAAACACAAGCTGTCTAAAAATACACTGCTCACAAAAATCCAACACAGACAAACCAATAGCAGATGCTCACACTTTATCTTCTGTTGTAGATAATCAAATTAAGAGAGTCTGAGCCTGTTATTAATGGTTTAATGCTCAGCTTGTCTATTGTACTTCATGCCCTTTGGCCAGAGAGCAGCTCTATTGCCAGTCCATTGTGGGCTCTCTTGGCAGCCCTTTCCAACATCCCAGGTATGCTCTCTGTACTGTGCCAGCGCATTGCCTGGAACCCAGGTGCCCACTCAGCCAAACAGGAATGACACTGGGCATGCTGCCAGCAGCGCAAGTTAAAATGTCAGGAAGGCTGGCAGTGCGGGGGTCTGAAAGCAGATTATGCCATGTCGGACCATGGAGGTGGGCGGAGCAGGAGAGGCTTGCAAAGGCTGGATTGCGGTTCAATAAGCATGAAACACAGTGATGTAATGTGGAAGCCTGTCTTCTGGGAAACACTGACCTGCTCGACATGGTTCAGCCCAGGCCACAAGAGCACAATACTGCAGAGAAACATGATCTGATGATTGAACAAGATGATGGCAGCATTATTCAATGCTCACTTTTTCCTCCCTGCAGGTTTGTTTGTGATGAGCGGAGCCATCATCTACACAGTGATGAGTCCGGATTGGGTGCCGGAGACAGTCTTCTTCGGCTACTCCTACATCCTGGCGTGGGTGGCCTTCCCTTTGGCGCTGATCAGCGGACTCATCTATGTCATCTTGAGGAAGCGAGAATGAGCCATCACTCCATCCCAGTGTTCCCAGTAACCCCCTGTCCAAATGCAAGTGTCATCAGTGCTCCTCTGAAGTTTAAGTTCTGATGCCTGAGTACCAATGGCCACTGGAGCCACCGGCCAATACATCCAGATCACAGCAAGGGGGGGTAATACCAAACATCAACATGTAAACCAACACAAAAACAACCAATACTGTCTCAGTTAAAAGATGTATATAGTATCTATGGTTTAAAACCTATTTATAACACTTTTTACATATATGTACATAGTTTTGTGTTGCTCTGTCAACAGATGAGCTTGTTTCAGCTGATTAAGTGCCTTGTTTGTTTGTTTGTAATGAAGAAATAATTAGATGCTATTTTGTTGTGTATGTACGTATTTTTGTTGCCTTTTTCTGTTTTGCTAATTGCCAAAGAATTAGTAAAAAAGTTTCTTGAAGTATATTAACCAAACTGCATGTATAGAAATAGAAAGGTTAGATGAAGAAGATTTTTTGGATGGGCTTGCTTCACAAAAAGAGTGGTAACATCCATGGACGTAGCATAGCCATGAAATATAGATTTGGTCTTTTTCTAATTGTGAATTTGCAAGTTTCAGTGTTTTTAATTTCAGAATTTTTCTATTTCTTATTTTCAACAAAAGATGGTGCTATGTATTTATCATTCCTATTACTGAAAGCAACAGAGTTACTTTGTTAATGTTTAGAGTCAAACATCTTGCCATGAATTTAAGTGAGAATCAGACAGAGGTACACTTGTACATACAGTGCCTGACTGCTTCTATAGGGAACACAGCCTATTTCACATTGCAGTGTCAGATTTTTTTCATCAGCTACTGTAAAACAAAATAATAATAATTGAGTTTGGGGTGGTGTATCAAGTCACTTGGAATGTCAGTATTATTCTGTGAGCTTGTGAGGAGTTGGATCACAGTGAAATTACTTTATATAAGCTTTATATTCGGTCTGTTTGCTTTACTTTTCCCTCATTCTGATGTTTGTGTTCACCTGGTGTGTATGGCCGATAAAGTCTCAAGAAGCCAAATTGCCTATTTAGTAGAATACCATAAAACAAATTAAAACAATGGGGCATAATAGCCTAAGAAAATAAATATACATCTAATGTTATTAGAAACAATTGTCACAGAGTTGAAGCCATATAAGAAAATACCAGATTGTAGGAAAAACATATTTAATATTAACTCTATATGTGAGGAAAAGGACAGAGAGGTTTGCAGTGATGATTCAAACGTCTGTTTCACATACTTGAAGTTTTACATGCTGCAGTCTCTGCCCACTGGCGCCTAGATGGTTTTTTCTTCTACTATATAAAACACTGTTTATATGTTGTGCATAACAGATGTTTATGTTGATGTTGCTCTAGCCTAAAACATTCACTTACTCAATAAAACTACTCTCACATTATCTAATACTGTGTATTCCACTGATACAAGGGACTGGATTCATGCTAACACTTAATGCATGTTGAGCTAGAAACTACATAAAGCAGAATTTCAAGTAATTTCCTAGGCTGGTTATGCTGTCTGCCTGTAAACTCTGAAACACACTGCTGTGCTACAAAAGCCTAATGTGGAAAAACTGCCAGTAAATGGGAATATACATTAAAATTATGAAAAAAGCTAATTCTGAAACATTTGTGGTGATGAATCTGTTATGACTGACAGTACCTGCCTGTTCATATGCTATGAGGTGCGTGACATCAACTGAAACGCAGAGTGCAGCATGTAAATTCCTGTGTACAGTCTAGTCAAACAACTCTACCTTACAGTGATCATTCTCCGGTGGATTAAATAAGCTGCCTTGTGCATGTGGTTGCAAATACTGTGACTTGTGTTGCACACACTGGGGCAAAGGCACGGCAGGTTGCACCCAATGCCAGTTATTCAAAACATGCAGCTAGTGTTTCAGTGTCAACATTGTCTCTCATAGCATCAGAAATTAGAGGACTTGGACGTGTCTTGTACACTGTAAGCAAGGGTCTGTCCTCCAACTGACATCTCCTGTGAGATACTGTAGCCTTCCAAAATAGAGCTATGTTGTGGTGGATTAAAGTATTTAATTCTGAGCTTACACTACGTAGTCTGCTGTAGTTTTTCACATGATGTTCATTATTGGGTTCAGTTAGAAGAGATTGCCTCTAATGACAACTGCCCTTTCATTTTGTGTAAAACGACAATAAGTTCAATTGTCCATGCCATGTTTACACCTAAACTTCCAAATGCTCAAGATACTACCAAAGCTATTTGAGTTTAATCATTAAAGGATGTTTCTTACCACCACGATGGAGCTTGTTGTGTCTTTCTATAACACTACACATGTTTACAGCATTTCCACTCCATTTTTGGAGAGGCAAAACCTTCTTGTGTCAATGAGAATCAGCTGTCATGCAACCTGTGCTCACAGATTATGGCTCGTGGTTTGTGATGATATCTATTCCTTTAAAAGACAATAGTCAGTCCACAACCAGCACTTCTGCACTGAGCTGATGAGTGGCATCTAAATCTCCAGCAATGAAAGAGTACTCTCAGAAGGAGGATTCTTATTGCAGGCCTGAGAGGTCACAGCCTCCCACTGCCTCCCCCCCAACATACCAGCACAGGGTGAAATGGGGACACTGCATTGTGGTCTGTGTGTAGTTTCGAGAGTCTGAGAAAATCTCTGTGAGCTTATCATTGTTATTCCTGATGGAACCATTTCTGTATTTTTCTGGGTATATGCCTATATTTCCATCCATAAAATCTTTACATACTTTTAGGTTTGACAGGTAGTTTAACATGTCCTGTCCATGTACCACCATCTGGTGGATGTTTTTAGTAACAGCAAAAAAAGAATCATATATATGGCTAAATTAGCAAACACTGCCTCTATGTGGTAACATATCAGCACTACAGTTAATCTACCATCTACTGTGATATTCCGGAGGGAGTGAGGAAACCCTCAATGTGTCTCTTGGATTTAGCAGATCATTTTTTCTTATTAAAATGTGTTAAATCTCATTCATTTATTTATGACCATTAAGCCTAGTCTAGAACTCAGCTTCTTCATGAGGGTGGATACCCTCTGTTATTAGTATGCATGCATGTGATAGAGAGAGGTAATTTCTCTTACTTGTCTACTCTCTATTACCCTTCAGTCAATCTAATGAATGCTCTTCCTCCAGAGCCATTATAAAGGCCTTTACGGCATAACATATCATTAGAGGAAAAGGCAGAAGACAAAGGAGTCTTCTACATTTTATAAATGATTTGATAAATTCCGACAAAAAACAATGAGATTTCTATGTTAAAAAATAAAATATGCAAGAATATATAATGAGATATAAAATAAGGGATATAAAATGAGGAATATAGTGGGTCAAACTGTTTGTACAAAAACATCTTGTCGTCCTGTTTTTAACCTTGTTCATCAGATTTAGCAATGCTCTGCTTCCCTTACAAACAATTAAAAAGATTCAGATCTGGAAAATGGGATGATAGACAGCCTACACCTGCCGGCCACTGAGCAGCACAAGGGGATCAGTCTAGACCAGGTTAGTTGACAATGAATAAAATAAAATAATGAGAGGAAAATCAAACATAGTGTTTTTGTGAGCCTCCATAGCCTCAATGCTATTAGCATATATATTGTACAAGGTTTGGGAACAGGAGGGATGATGGCCATTATTCCATTCGATGTTTTGATATGGTGGAGAAGAGATAACTTTCATACTCATCTAACTATTCAGTGATCCCTCATGCCCTACATAAAAGTCTGCGTTCGATTATGTTTCTCCGCTCATTTATTCAGGATTTCCTTTAATTTGTCAACCATCTCCATCTAGATTATTTAACAAAATGCTGATTTTACTTAGACTGCTTAAATGGAACTGATGTATTCTGAATATATACCCAATATTAGTGACATAAATATAGAAAAACTAACTCGGAAAAAACATACGAGCAGGGTTCTCTCTCTGATAGGGTTACCCGATCTGACCCCAAAATGTCCATCTGTATGCCGCCTTCACCTGTTCTTTACAATCTGAACATGTCTAAACTGAGTGACCCTTCACATGCACACAAACACAATGACTACAAATGTCTGGTGGGACAAAGCAGACAGACACCAGACATATTCATCACGTCATCCTAAACCAACACCAGACTGGAAAGAATTGTCCAGTCACTGTCACATTAACTATAGTGATGATGACAGATCAACATTCTGTCAAAGCTTGCCATTTGATTTAACCACCTCCTGGTTTGTGGCAGTTCAACGAACTCCTGCCTTCAGACATTCTTTTATCAAGCAGTAATTTTGCACACAATTTGTCGATTGTTACATGAGTAAAAATACCGAAAGATTTACTTAAAAGAAGAAAGCAAAAAATCTGGGCATTGTGTCTATCAAGTATTGACTGATACGCATTATTATCTTTGTGCTTAATAGGTGTCTGGGGGTTTCACACATCATTGCTTTGCCATCATGGGGTCAAAGGCAAGGTTTTAAAACAATCACTTTTCCCATTAATACCTTAAAAACCCCCTCTGTCTCATCCTATCCCATCCAATGTCACTATCGCCTCCTGCACCCGTTTTTTTTTTTTTTTACCTCGACCCTACTGAGAGATAATATTTTCTAATTTCTTGAACACAATGAGGGGGATACAAACAGAAGGTCCACCTTAATCTATCACAGCTCCTTCAAGGGGGTGTAGGGGTGCACAGTGACAGGCACAAAATCGCAGAGTCGGTGGGGAGGAGGGCAACAGAAGCAATTAAGGCTCATGAAATGCAAATGGTACTTTAAATAAGGGGTTGGGGAGGAGGGCTAGGTCTCTCCTACTCTTGCTGCCATCTGCTTGCTATCACCACCAGTGGAAGAACCTCTGGGTCTTGGTAATTTGTAGCTTTAATAATTTTCTCCCTTAGCTAGAGAAGAAAGAAGGAGATGGGGCTGAAGGGGGCAGCTGGCTAAGATTAGATTTAGATCAGTTGGTCAGATCACATGGCGATCTGACTTATTATACTTTAGCATGGGCATAAACACACTTGCATGTTTACACGCAAGCATGCATACGCATGCATCACATGTGCAGGCATACACATATTCAGTTCCACTCTTGCTTCAACCCCTACACAATATTTGCCTATGCGCCATCAAACTTGACCCTGATCCAAGGTGTACTTCTACCCGTGGGTCCATAAATCCCTGAGGATGTCTGGAGGTTAGTTAGGAACATGATCCTTGGCCGTTGGGGGCTGAGCCATAACCCCAAGAGCAGATTCAGTACCTAAGTTTCCCCGGAGCACTGTTTGAAGGGGTCAAAGTGGACACACTGTGTTTTTTTTGTCTTTTTCCCTTATGACACAGCAATTCAATTGTCATGTGGAACAGACGGACCTTGTTGAAATTACAGATTTAACACTTTCTAATACCCACCGTACGGACCCATTCCCAAGGCCAAGACTGGGTCAAGGTCATCACGACACATACCTGACCCATGACCCTGTGGACGTCCATCATGCTCAGGAAATAAAGCAAAGATTGGCAGTTGATGTAGTCAAGGACTAGTCAAGGACTACATCAACTTCAGCTTCTGCCATACATCAAAGTCACTCCCAACAACATGCACTAACACTGAGGGCCTAATCATTTTATTGACACTGAAAGAGTAGAGAAGATGAAGCAGTGCGCTGAAACTGGAACAATCAGATGAACTGCAGTGGCTTTGTGGTTGATTTAGAGCAGGCAGTGGTGTGGAAATGTGTCTTTCAGTCTTTGAATATGGTTGGACGATGACTTAAACATCAGTGAATACACCTTTAACAGCTGGGGAACATCAGTGAACAATATGACGGCCAACAAAAAAAGCTCCTTCTCTAGCCTCATGAAACCGAAGTGGCACATGTAACACTTTCATTGATGGGAAAGCCAAGCTTCACACATATTTGAATCAGGGGGATTTCTTAACAGAGCAATGATTTTTATGTTAAAAGTCCTTGGACAGTCAATCCACCAAATATGTATCATAAATGACTAGAGGTCATGAATGACCAGTATGATGGCCACATGCCACACAAGACAGTTGAAGCACGTACTGCACTGGATTTTAATTTCAACGCAACCAGGTCTGAAAGGGGTGCAACAGGAATCTGTCAGCTCAAATGGAGCAAAAAACACAGGCAATGTGCCATTGTAATTTTACCATTTAATACTCACACCACGAGGTACTCATACATTTTTGCAACATTTCTCCTGGAGTAGATAAAAAGAACAGCCAGAAAGCTTGAGGGCTAGCAGATAGTCACCCTTAAGCAGAGTAAACAAAGCTGCTTTCAATCTCTGCAGACACACACACAAACATAGACAACTCTCATGAGGTCCAGTAGAGCTTCAGACGGGTCAGATGGACAGCAGTAAAAGCTCTCTGAATGGTGTCGATGAAGCCTCATAAATTCCCCAGGCAATAACAGGGCCTCTTATGAGAATGGAATACTGAGCAACCAAGTTATTTGGAGCTGTGCTGCATTTAAGACTTTGACAGCCCCATTCATTGGGGGGTATGTAGATACTTTATATATCCATTCCACTCTACTATAGCATTCACACACAAACAAGACACTAAGTGTTTGAACACACATATGTACACACAGTCATGCAGCAATGATTGAAAGATATGGGCAACAACATCAAGTAACTGCAACATCAGACTTTACATCTGAGTGCAGCAAGTTCTCTGCCTATCATTGAGGGCAACAGGCTCTAAATCAACCAGAAAAAACAGGAGCAGATATCTATGAGCCAAAGATAAAACTGCTGGCACAATTTTGAGATGACAAAGAATTAGATGATCAAATTCCTCTCAGTGGGATATGCATGGACCAGCAATGCCACACACGCCTCTAACACAGCAAAGTTCAGCTGTGTGAAGTGCTCTGCACCATCAAACCTAGTAAGCTTGGACACTGGAGACTGTGCAGTGCCTCATCATTCAGCTTCCCTCATACTTGTTAGTACTGTAGCAACCTCTATAGGCATTCTGTCTTTCCTGTACTAACATTAACTGAATACAATAATCTAGGAGAAAAGGCCTTATAAATAAAATTCTATCAAATTTAATTAAGTGTATGTAATTACATTAGGTATCCTGCTTTTGAACAAAAAAAATTCAGTGCCAAGCATCAGCTTTGCTGCCGCTATCTGGACAGTGTGTGCAAGAGCACAAGATGTCTTTTTTCTTTTGCAGTAAAGGGTATCATCCCAAACAAAGTATGTCCTTGAACTCCAAAAGGACACTGTG